AAAACCAAAACTCCACTGAAATATCATAATGCAGGCTCTAAGTAATACATTTGCATATCCTCCTCCCAGTATTTAGGATGTTGTGATGATAAGCATATATTGCACCTGCTATTTTGAAAATAGGGCCCTATGTCTTCTGGAAGTTTATACATCCCCAAGGCTTATCTTGCTACGAAGCCAAGCATTGGCAGCGGTATGATGTGGGGAGGCTTTTCTCCAGCAGTACAGAAAAACTGGTTTGTTGATTCCAACCTAAGAGAAGCTAAATACAGGACAATCATTGACTGCCTGATAGCAGCCACAGAAGAAAGTTGTTAAATTTCTTCATGTCCCAAGATGAAATTTAACTGCATTCTAGATCCTAATTTTCTACAACAAAGTAGAATAAATACAGCTAACTTGCTGTATTGCTTTGACTGCTTTCAGGTGGAAAAAGAAACTGTAATCCACCGCAGGTTGATACAACAATAAATGATTTCATGTTAAATAAACTTTGGTTTCCCCCATATGCACACAGGGGCAATAAGTGATACTTGCAGCTGGTTGAAACAACTTTCACCTTAAAATTTTGTAATCAGTGTTTTCCTTTTGACTATTTCTCTTGTCCTTATATGGCTCTGTTTTGACACTAATGCTGCAATTTAGTTTCGAAAAGTATAAAAACATGCATCAGAAGCTGAATGGACCTGTGATTTCATCGCCGTTAACAAGGTCCAAGTGCATAAGGGTTAACCTTGCCTGTCAAGATTCCATGCCTCTCACTCATCCAGCTTTTCTGTGAATAATCTGTCTTCCCATGAAAAACAAGCCTGCCCAAGCCTCCTTTTTTTTTTTTTTTACATATTGGTCTCTATTCTCCTTTTGTTTTGCAAGTCTCTGTATCTGACCAGACAGATTTCATCGTTGCCAAATAGGCTTTCCATTAATGGATTCTGACCTTGTCTGACAACTTCACTTAAAGAACCTTTTCTGCCGTAAGACGTGCTTTTTAAAAATCATTCCTTGACCCTTTATCCAAACACATCCACACTCCAACTTTCCATCTCACCTTGCCTCCTCACTGTAATCTCCTTTTTTTTCTCACTTCCTCCATTAATTTTCAGCTCCTCTCACCTTACAAGAGCCCCCCTCAGTTGTTTGTGGGGGCTTGCCTGATAGCCATTAGTGTTACACCCTATTACATCAGTAATGACTGACTGTGAGCTCTAATTAGAGATGTGTTAGGGAGAGCTGACTTACCTTCCCCCCCTTCCTCCTCCTCCTCCTTCTGCCTTTCTGCAAAGCTGTTACTCTGACTCCATCTCTGTGGCGATACCATTAGCACAGCACCTCTAAGAGTCGCAACTCCTGACTGTTAAAACCATTATGTTCGTTACAGACCAATCAGAGGGGAAGGTGTTATGGCTAATTGATAAGCCGAACAATGTGTAAAAATCTTGTCTCTAATTGCCCTGTGGGGGAAAAAAAGAGAAAGCACCCAGGGAGAAAGAGACAGTGAGAGAATGAAAAAAAAGAGGAAGAGAATGTGAAAGAGACTGCCGTGCTAATTTCAAAATCTGATATTTTTCCACTTGAATAATTTAGGCTTACAATATGTCTTCATCTAAACATGCTGCAGGATTTTTTTTTCTACTTCCTCTTGAATAATGGGATGTTTCTTCTGGGTTTGTCATCTGTGATAAGATGATTATCTGAAAGGTCTGTGGCACATTGTGAAGAGAGTCTCGTCTTCTCCGCTGGAGTAGGTAATCCTGGGTAATAGCATTATGGACACAGTGTTTTCCTAAAGCCCATGATTATCCACCGCTGTTTGCCACGGGATTGACACTGGCCTCCCTGGTCTCCCTCTTCTCCTCCTTTTCTCCCTTTCTCTCCCTCAGTGTCACCCCGTCTCTGACTCACCACTCCATCAAGCCCTCGTGCGCTCCTCTCCTGCAAGAGAAGAAGATGAATATAGAGCGTACGGAGCAAACAAAGGACCAAACTGCTCGTAGACAAGAGTGCCCTGATTTGAATGACATGTTATGCTCTTTTGCAAAACAAAAACCACACTCAGTTTGTCACTTTTAGGGGCATGGGATATGCTTTGAAGTCTGACATTATCTCTGCTGAATCTACATCCATGCAATATAGAAAACTGTTTTGTTTTCTCATTTTATTATCCTTCTAAATCAATTGCCTTTGATTTATTGGTCTTCCAGTTTTGTAAGCACAGTGATATGGTGTTGAAGAGGGTGAGAGTGTAGCTGAGCTAAGACCTATGCTTTTTAGACAACTGGCTCCCTCTTTCTCCAGCCCTTTTAGACCTGAACTTGAGCTGATCTCCTTCTCTTCTCCCCCTCACTTACCTAACACACTTTTACTTAGCCAAACCACTCTGTGTCAATCTTGTCATGTGGTTTATGTGTTGTTGTTTTTGTCCTCAGTGCCACATCTTTCAAAAGCTGCTAAAGTAATCTCTCATGACTGAATGCAGAAGTTTTAGCTTTAATCTGGAGGCAGGTTATTTTTTTTTTAAGTGGGTGAAGATGGTAAAGGAAAAAGCTGGTTAACCCACAACAGGGTTATGTTAGGAATATGTTTGAATGGGGAGCCGTTCAATGCAGAAAATAAAATGTAAAGAACTGTGAACATTTTCAAACTTCAAAACTTTAACCTTGACCTTCCTGATTTGTCCCTTGGTCTCTGTGATGATGTTTGATCTCTTATGTTCTCTAAACAACCTCTGAGGCCTTAACTAAAGATCCGAAATCATAAGATTAAATCACACAGAGGTGGACTCACTTTTCAGTTGCAATACATTTTGTTTATGAGTATATGTATCAAAGAAAGCTGGATACAAATAGCAATCAGTCTTTTCAGATCTTCAATTATAAAAGATGCCAATGTTTAATTAGCATGCCCTGAGCTGGTTTATTTTCAACCTGATAAGCTAATTTCATAAGGTGAATACAAAGAGAAGGATTTTTGGACAATCTGAAACTTTGAGAGGAGGCGATTGCTGATGTGAATGTGTTGTTGTAAAGCACTTTTGGTTGATGAAATGGACAAGGCAGACCTGACTTTCAGCAGATTAGTTTCTGCAGATTTTGTATGGGAGGTAAAAATAACAAAAACAAATCAGAATTCTGATATATTCTTTATAAGCTGAATAAATAAAACCTTGATTAGCTCTAAATTGTCAAGTGCAACTGCTTAGAGTGTTAGTCCAACCAGATTTGATGCAAGGGTTTTAGGATTTAAACATTTATTTGAAAAGAATCTGTAATCTAACATTGCTATACATCTAAACTAAGAAAAAAATAATGAGGTTGACAACCAATGAAATGGACGCTTACAGATTTTTTAAGATGTTTAAATGTTGCTAAAATTGGTGTGGAGTTTATAAAAAGGGGCTAACAAAGCCACAATTAAAATAGGAGCGACGTTTAATCTAAAGACGTCACACTAAAAGCATGTTGTTGTTGTTTTGTTTTTATTAACTACAGCAACTCTCCAACCTTTTAGCCATGAGCAAAATGTCCAGTTTCTGGAAGAGCAGTTGAATTTTCTGCTAAATAAAATGCAATTTGAATTGCATAAACAACAAATGAATTAAAACTTTAAAAAATTTAACTTGTAAGAAATAAGGAAAACTTTTTTCCCATTTCTTTTACGTTCAAAATGTACTATTTGTGCTCATTTATCAAGGAGGCTGCATAAGAAAATCCCACAATAGTGATACTAATCTTAATTATTGCAATAATATTATGTGATAAATTCACATTTATTACATCTGGTTTAATCTTTTTGCACAATGCTTTGAAGAGCCACCTTTACTAGAGGCAAAATTTAAATAAGTTATTAACGTGTCAGTAATGAATTCCTGAATAATAGAATATGCTATATCAACATTGTGAAGACTGAAATTTGCAATACAGTGAATTTACAGTTTTAGTCACCTTTTATTAAAAGCAGACATTTCTGGTTGCATTATAAATAAATTTACTTAATGATGAAAATAATTGATCATTTAGTCCTCAGACTGTGGTCATGCTTTATTCCTTTTTTTTTTTTTCTTGCTGCTGTTTTCTGGAAAGTAAAAATAAAAATAAAGGGCTAACCAGATCCGTGCTTCAGACATCTAATGCTCTGGCCACCAACAGGTGCCACAGGTAAGGTGGGGGCAGGAGTGAAGCCCCATGATGTGTTGTAACAGGCAAAAAGCAGCCCACGGGATTTATTAACAAAACAAACTTATCTGCACCAGGGTCTCTGCTCCCATGTTTGCACAACAAACATGCTGAGGTTTAATCTCAGAAGAACTCAATCTTTGAGGTACTTAATAGGAGTAGTAAATTAAACAGTAGGAGCAACACTTAAAATAGGTGAACCTTCCTTTAATTAGGAATCCTTTAATTAATCAAGTTGTGTGTTTGTGTGTGTACTATGGGTGTGTGTGTGTTTCTCCACCTGGAAGCTGAAGGACCAGCATGCTTTTAGGCTGTGCAGGCTCACATAGGCCCTATGTGCAACACATAGGATGTTTTGCACCTCACAGTTTGATCATGTAGTTAAAAACAGTGCATGTCTTGCGTGCAAAAAATAAATAATTAAATGCCTCCATAAGTCGATAGCTCTCCCACCACCCCCGACCCTTTTTTTTTTTTTTTTGTGTATCCTTCTTTTTCGGTATCAGTAATGGGAGTCAGTATCCAGGAGGAGGCGAGGGGGGTGTTTGGGGCTCCTCGCCAAGTCCTCGCCCCTCCTCCCCGGAATGCGGCACAGCTGCCTTTCAGAACCCCGCCGCTCCAGCCCATTCATACCGGAGTCCCCCCCACCCCATCCCCCCCCTAGTCCCGTAAAAAAAAAAAAAAAAAAAAAAAAAAGTGGCTATTTATTAGAATACTTGTTTTGTATTGTTCTGCGCCACACAAAAGACGTTCATTACGATAGAAGCAAGCCCCGTTCGCAGAGAGAAACAATAACTTGGAATTGTCTGTTTTTTCCCAGAGTATAATAAATGTCATTTCTTCTTGTGTCGGCCCCTCAGTGTGTGTTGAGTGGTGGGTTTGGGCACCGGGCATGGATGGCCTTGGCACTCCAGCGGCCGCGACTGTGGTGGCTTAAGTAGCGGTCTTTACACGGAGCTTTGGATTGTGGGGTTTGCGCGTGTGGATCGGGGGAAATGTCCACTTTGTCTGGAGGAGACTACGAGGGGGACCATGCGTAAGTTTGCATATAATAATTTAAATGAGGACGGAGGGGATTTTGAGTTCAGCTTTTTTTTTTGTGTGTATTTTTCTTAGTGTAAAATCTGTCGTTAGTTGTAGAGCTCCATGCATTTTGTTCTTATACCTGCTCAGTCCTGTTGCGCCTGCAGGCTATACTTTTATTTCAGAGCCAATAAGCCCCTCGGGAGATGCTGCATGAGAGCGCACAGGTCTGCGCCTTCTACTAGTTGCTCTCTAATGCAGTTCAGTTTGATTTTAAAAGACTTGATTTGTCGAATATTTTCTAAAAGAAAAAATATAGCAACCTTTAGATTTTTCTGTTATTCAAACGCAATCCTTTTAAGATGGTTGGTGGCAACTAAACTGACGTGTTGCGCGTAAAATGCGTGGGGGGGAGGTTCTGATCTAAACAACTTTCAATTTAGATTAACGCGCAAAACGACGCGCCGTTGTTCGTTTATTTGATCACCAGATGACCCGCTGCCTTTTTTGCGCTCAGCACCCAATGCCTCTCCAGCCGCTGTGCGCATAATCAAACGTTGTAGTCGCACGTGGGAAAAAAAAAAAAAAACATATCCCGGCGCAGGTGAATTGCTTTGAAAATGAAAAGTAATAAAAATGAATAAGGAATAAAGGAGACGACAATGATTAAACTGCAGGAAAGGGCATCGACCACGCTGTAGCCGCTGCGCCCCTATAAGCGTAAAGACGCATGAGAGTTTTGTCCGTTTACAGAAAATTTGCTTTTTGTACATAGTGGGGAGAGTTTGTGTGTGAGTGTCTAGGGGGCGGGGGGTCGTGTGTTGGATAACTGCTTTGACCCCCTGGCCCCAGTCGTACACCGTCACGACGGTGCTCACACATTCTTATCCAGAGGCAGGGGCCACAAAGGAGCGTGGAGGTTTGAAAAGGAGGTTTGTTAAAAGAGGAACTGAAGAAGGGGGGCTGGAGGGTGGCAGTGGAAGTAAACAGGGGGCCACCGGGGTCCTAGTGTCGGTGTAAAAGGCTAATCCTCTATGTACAACTCCTAAATCCTCTGTCAACAGGGAGAATAAAGAGCAGTATTAATCATTACTTCCATGACTTCATGATTGCACCCAAGAGATTAAAAAAACAACTAGCTTACAACTTTATGATAAGATTAATTTCACCAATTTTACTTTTCATGTGCATACAGGGAAAATAGCCCTTAGTTTGAATTAAAATTTAAACCGCCAAAGTTTTCAATTTTAATATTTATTGTTGCACCCTTTAGTTCTTTTGCTCCCTTTTAATTCACCGTATTTTTAAGACAATCGAACATATTAAATACAAATAGGCAATAATTTTTTTTAACGTAAACATTGTCAATTATTTGAAATGAAATACATGAACTATTTTAAACGTCAAAATGCTAAACAATCCTATTTATTTCATATTTTAAATACAGAATAACATGCATTCAATTTGGCCCATTGCTCTCTCCTCTTTTGCGCGTTTCCAGTGTGCTTTCCTGACTCTCCATCATACATTGTCATCTTCCAGTGCACGAGGCCTGAAGCCACGTGAACACCCCCCCCTACACACACACACACACAAACACACACAATGAAAAATCCGCTGTGGGGTAGTTCACTGAGCGCTGTGACATCCCCGTTAACCCCTTTACGCAGAGACCCACGGATCGGTCCGAATGATCCCGCTTCCTCAAACCCCTCAGCAGAGAGCATCACCAACCCCTGAACTCTAATTATTTTAAAAAGAGAGCGTTAAAGGGGAAAACACCGCAAAAGGAAGATAGAAATGATTAAATCGTTAGTCTCGCCACGGGAAGTGGTATTTCGTTTTCCCTTTCAATTAGAGGCTGATTGGGCTTTTCAGAGGAGGTCAACTGTGTAATCTGGATTATGTATGCGCGCACTCTAAGACACGTGAACTGCTCCTATCTGCCACCGGCTTTCAGCAAAATCTTAAAGAAAAGCCATGTTTTGCTTTAAAATAGAGCTTAATGTTAAATGTTACCATCGCCAGCAGACGGCGATACCTGCGCTTTGCCCCAGTTTCACCTCATTACGCGGCCATCCATCCTTATGAACCTCTCCTCTTAGAAGATTTACTTGGCTTTCTTTACAAAATCGCTTTTGTATCATTTCCTGCTCCGAGTGCGTGCATTTTCTCTCCCTGACACATGTTATTACTGCATACCTTAATTACATACCTGAAAGGGAAGCAGAGAGAGGGAGACAGAGGAGGGAAAAAGACGATGTGAACTGGAAATTGGTTTTGGAGCGTCGGTTCAGGAGATCGGGTGAAGAAGACTGTTATTCCTCTGGATCTGTGCATACAATACAAGGACCGAGCTGTTTAGATGTGCATTGATTAGGATGCCCTACTTCTACGACATTATGGAGAAAATGCGACCTGGAAAAAAAAACTGCTTTTAAGAATCTAAATTGGAATAAAAGCAGTTGATTTGATTTGCTTCCAGTTCCTCCTTTTGAATGCCTGTCACTCACTGCTGGACACACCCTCAAATCATTCAATATTGAAGTATAAAAGAGGAGGCTTCCATAACTTCAAAACTATGATCTCAACATTTTTAATGGCTTAAAAAAATAGTATGGTCCAATATTTATATAATCGGCTCGTTTTCTGCCATGCTGACAATGTAAATATTTGTTTTGGAAAGTCATGACTTTGAGCCCCCATCAGTATTATGGAAGCGCACCTTAAAATATTTACATTATATTTTCGTTTTAGTGACTATCGTTTTAGGGAAAAGAGGAAATCTGCATCTCTTAATAAATTTTATTTTCATTATTAATAGCACGACACTATTGCGACATTTGTTGCAATAATACAACTTTCAATAATAAGCGATAGCAGAGTTTTTTTTTTTTTTTGCTTTATACTTTTATTCTTTTGTATAAGTAAGCAGAAAACACAAATAAAATTCAAGACAATACCGTTTTAATGTGTGAATTTCACAAAAATAAACAGAACATATGTCATTCGTGACAACTAATTAAATCATAACAGTTTATTTGTTATTAAATACATTTCCTAACTTATTGAACAACATGCTTGTAATAAAGTGACAATGCAAATTTATGAAGGCCGTTGCACCCCTAAGGATGGCTCCATCCGTGCCACCAGATGCTTCTTTAAAACTTTTTTTTTTTTTTTCAGGTACCTCTGCTAAGATGTCATAAATTAGAACTCTTTAAATTTGATAGAGATGTCTGACTCACTACTATCACTGACAGGAGCCACCGTCACTGCAGACAAATCCGAGTTATTTTTGTTGTTGAAGTGTCTGATAGTCTGTTTGAAAATGTTCAAATGCCTCGTGCTATTTGCGGTATTGATCCTCCTCCTCCTTCTCCTCCTCTTCCTCCGTGCTACTCTATAGTCACCTGACTAAATGCCATGCAAATCATTCTGCTGCTGCAGCCCTATTGGCCGCTTCTGACTCATTTAACTGCTGTCAGTGCGCATCACATGACCGCCGCTTCAAGCAACTTCTGCAACTCCAACAAGGAAAGTGGCTCAAACGCGCATTCTGTCACATTTGGATAAGAAGAGACTCCAAGACCGAAGCCTGAGTGAAATACTGCATGGAGAATATTTTTTTATAAATGTATTTATGCCTTCTTGGATTAATTTGCATCTGCAGTTTGTTTCATTGAGGGGTATTTATAATAATTTTGTGACTCAGTCATCCTCGGCGCACCCAGCATCAACTTGTGCGCGCCCGACCCGATCATAAAAACAGACTTTTTTTTTCTCTGCTGGTGGTGAACTTTAAATCCAGGGTGAATGTATAGCATGATGATGGAGACTGACCTTCATTCCCCCGGTCCCCAAACGAACACGAGTACGGGGCCAACGGGGCCGAACGGGGGCTCCAAAGCCAACCAAGAACGCGTGAAGAGACCCATGAACGCGTTCATGGTGTGGTCCCGGGGCCAGCGGAGGAAGATGGCACAGGAGAACCCCAAGATGCACAACTCGGAGATCAGCAAGCGCCTCGGTGCTGAGTGGAAAGTGATGTCCGAGGCGGAGAAGCGTCCCTTCATCGATGAGGCGAAGCGGCTGCGTGCCATGCACATGAAGGAGCATCCGGATTACAAGTACCGGCCGCGGCGAAAGACGAAGACCCTGTTAAAGAAGGACAAATACTCACTGGCCGGCGGGCTGCTTTCCGGGCCCAGCGGTGGCGGTGGGGTCGGTTTAAGCGTCGGTATGAACTCATCCGGGGTCGGACAGAGGTTAGAGAGCCCAGGGGGTCACGGAGGATCCGCCGGTTCCGGCTACGCGCACATGAACGGCTGGGCAAACGGTGCGTACTCGGGACAGGTCGCCGCAGCAGCCGCGGCCGCTGCGATGATGCAGGAAGCGCAGCTCGCCTACAGCCAGCACCCTGGCAGCGGGGCGCACCACCATCACCACTCACACCACCACCACTCCCACAACCCGCAGCCCATGCACCGCTACGACATGACTGCCCTTCAGTACAGCCCCATCTCGAACTCTCAGAGCTACATGAACGCCTCCCCGTCCAGCTATGGCGGGATCACCTACACGCAGCACCAGGGCTCCGCCGTCTCCTCCTCGGCTGCCATGGGGACACTGGGATCGCTGGTTAAGTCGGAACCGAGCGTGAGTCCACCCGTCAGCGGCACGCACTCTCGGGGTCCCTGCCCTGGAGACTTGAGGGAGATGATAAGCATGTATTTACCAACCGGGGAGCCGGGGGACCCGTCCATGCAGAGCAGACTGCACGCCTTGCCGCAGCATTACCAGAGCGCCGCGGCTGGAGTGAACGGGACGGTCCCTCTGACGCACATTTAGACCTGACATTAAATTAACTGCAAACTGCGACTGAACACATAACCAAATATTTACCTCTTTTCTAAATAACCCCGCTCCCCAGAGCTCCATGAATTTTGTACAGAATGTTTATGATATTGTAAATGAATGGGTAAATAATATTAATCTCAGCTGTGCTCCCAA